ATCTGTTTTCAACACTAGATATTTCAAAAAAATTTTTTTAACGACTCAACATAACTTTGTAACGGCTATAAAAAGGCTACCGAATGATATATGTATCATATTCAATGCAAAGTAATAAATCATTGCCTGTCAAAGGATCCAGTGCAGTGCGGTTTTAAGGGGTTTCGAAATTGAATAATTTCTTTATGCATTATGACGGGATGAAGGGATTAGTTCATATCTGGCACCCCTGTTCCCTACAAAAATCCCTTTATTCTCATAAACTATTTATTTTTAATGTAATTTATTATAAATCCAATATGTTTTTTAAATTCCACATATGTACTATATTTTACCTCTGTTGCTTACTTGTTTTTTGGAGGCGGTCTCTAATTTACGACCAAGCTCGCCAGGTTAGTATTTGACGTATAACTGACCACTTCGTACACTCTGGGCGACTACAGCTACTACCAGAACACAGTGTGTATGTAGATTTTCAGATTTTACAGTCAATTTCATTTTAAATTTGAAATGGTTCATCTTACGCGTACTAAAAATGAAGACACGATTTTCCTTTGATTAAAGGCCGATAATTTTTTGCTCTACTTTGCATCGAATACGATCCCACTATAGAACACTCTGTACAACTTTACATTATTGAACAGATCGCGAAAATAGCTTTTGAAAGTTGTATTATATATTATACTTTTCGTTTACGAGAATTCGACGTGTTTTAGAATAGTTTTAAGATGAATCTTTGCAAGAATATTGACAATAAATAAAATGATGTTAATCTGGGAACTAAATAATTTACTTCCTAAAATGTTTACAGAAGCAAAAAAGTGGCAATTTACTTAAAATTAAAAAAAATCATGGAGAAATGATCCCATTTTTTTAAATTGATTCTTTAATTTGTACTGAATAAAATAGGGAAAAAAATGAAGAAATTTATATGCTTAATCCAAAGTGGTGATGAACGACGCACCTAAATGAAAGAGAAAATAACATTAAATAAGTTTAAAATTATTTGTTAACGTCGTTTTATACTTTAGAGTAAAATAAAAATTTTTGAATTAAATATAAAAACTTAATACTGTTAAAACACTGCTGCATTAAGTCACAAGTAATTTAAACGTGTGATCTGCTAGACCGCTAGCAGAGTTGTCTCTTCATGCACGGTATAATCTTTCCAATCTCAACTGAAATATTTGAAAAACTTATTCTGATATCTATTTAGTCATACTCCTGTACAGGTCTGGTCGAACTAAAAGTGGTGGTGGTAAAAATGTATTCGCCCAGTTGATGAATGCGCGCGCGGCCAAACGGCTCACAAACACAGCCGCACTAGGCGATCGGCCATAAATTTCAGTTGTTGGCATATTGCCTAGCAGTAATATATTTTAATGAAAATGTAAATGTTTTTTGATATGCCATAAGCCAAAATTTACCATCAATTTAATAAAATTGTTTGAAGACATAAATAATTAAAATATGTTGTTGGCCAAATGAACATACATATAATAGAAATTTTCTACACATATGCAAATTATTAGTTTTTACCTTCATCAGAAAACTTTTTTAGGGAAGCTTTTTTTAGAAACACGGCATAGCAAAATAGTAAATATTTTGAATAATTTTGTGTTTTACTTCTTATTAATTATTAATAATGCATTTAAAATCCATGTGTAGGCTTTAACTTAAAAAAAGTAATATCGATCGAAGTAATTATTATCCTATGACACCCGTGGTATCTTTAACGTTTAATGACCTATTAAGTTTGTTATTTATTACGAATTTTGTGACATTTTTTCCGTAAAATATCATTACTTTTGTTTTCTAAATTGACGTTTAGGTGCTTAAAAAAGGTAGTTGCTACACTTGTAATAAGCCGCCGACTAATACGCTATGGATTACAGGCATACAAACTTTTAGACATCCATCTGATCACCAATTATCATAAGTTAATACCTTATAAAGCCCGATAATTCAAGCTGTAGTAGTTATTGATCTCATAATCTCTTGTCAGACAACGTCATAGCGAATAATAATAACTATGCAAATACCACCACAGTCGTATTTTATTCAACGCAATTTTTTTTTCGCATAATCTCGACACTAAATACCGAATTCGCGGAATATCATAGTTTTAATACAACCTCAAATTAACATTTGCGGTCAACTGTGTATTTTTTCAACAAGAGGTTCGGTTTTTTTAACCTCAAGATTAAAAAAAATTGTTTGGGAATGTAATTTCGGGATTACCCAAAAATTAGGCCATTGCCCTCACGAAAACAATCTATTCAATTCCGTAAATTATTTACCAAAAGTTTCATCCTCGATATTACTTGAGGTTCCTCTGTATGAGTTTATTTAAAGGAATGTGCCGCTCGCAGCGGAGGAATGTCTTTGTGTGCGGAAAACGCCGTAAATAGAAAAATTGCTTCAATGAAAGCGTTTACATTTCTATGCGCCTTAAAAGTTACGATTTTCCCGCATGCCGTCCATGTGGAGTATTACTCATTCAGCTTATTCAACTATCAGGTCCGCCAACAGCCATAAAATACAAATTACATAATTACTATCATTAGTTTTTATTCATGCCATACGCTAGGAGATATCGGTTTTTCCAGTATTGGCAGATTATTATCTATTTAGAAACACAACGCTGACATTATATGTTAATTATTTATCTTTATGCGGAGGACATTGAGCAACTTTATCGGCACATCTTTACTGGCCGATAAAATCTATAAAGGTGGCTCTGTAATTGGCCACAATTGGAATTCTTGTTTGCTTTGCTGACAAAAACGAGTTTATAGCGTTAAATTTACGTGTCACTGTACTTGTACAGCTTTAGCAAAAATACATACCGTTTCATTTTTCTCTTTAAAAATTTGTATGTAGCGTAATCTGGAGGAGGAAAGGTTGTCATTGTTACAGTTTTTCATCTCGCAGAAAAAATCGGAATCTCCAATCGAAATATCGAATCGGATCGAGACATCCCATCGAACCGAGTTGTCGAATCGAACCGAAATGTCAAATCGAATTGGAATATCAATTCGAATCGAATCTGAATATGTATATGTGTAGCCTAAATTTGCTCAAACTGAGGGTTGCTTTCGCTGTACAGCAAAAATAAGACTCTCTCTCTCAACGGTAATAATAAAGTAATTTATTAAAAACTAAGTTGTATAGAAAAAGAGGTGTTGACACCCTGTGTATGGAGTCGGTCGTAGGTATATGGGTACGCATCTGGTCGCCGGCGCCAGTCCGCGTAGACCCTTCCTGGAACGCTGGTGCGTCCGGCGGCGTCCTGCTGGCGCTCTTGACGCAATGCTTGAAAATGGGTCACTTGCGGCATGTGTACCCACAAAACAAACATTTCTTTAACAGTAAAACAAAATCAACAATTTTTATTGAAAATAAAGGAATAAAACAGAAACAACATTATTAGACTATTCAGTAAGTTAAATTTATTATAAAAAGTTTAAATTACTGTAGTTTCTAATTGCTACGGGTAGTAGTACCAGTACCTACCAAATACCTGAGTTATCTATGTATTTGCCTATATGTTTGGTAATAAACATATTGATATTTTATTGTTTCATTACAATTAAAAGCTTCATCATTTCCTTCTATTCTATTCGATTAAAAAATACAAATCGATTCGAACCGATATACAATTTTTTTCCACGCCTACTGTCTAGTCAAATAAATTTAACTCGACAATTATGTTCCAATTCAATTTAGTACATAGTTTCGATATTTCGATCTGATTTTTTTGATCGATCAATTCAAAAGTACAAATCAATCCGAATCGTTAATATATCGATTTAGTGCACATGATTAGTTGATTCGACTCGATTCGATTAGATTCAAATAAAATATACAAGTCGATGAATCTATTCGAATCGACTTTTTTTGACTAATCGAAAATCGATTCGTTATTTCGCGAATCGCACAGGCCTAATGCTAATATGTCAAATGTGTCCCGCCTTAAGAAGCAGATGCGCAAGAGAGATAGGCTTATACATACGCATATGAGAAACGAGAATAACGCAGCTCCATAAAAAAAAATCGAGAAAATTGCCCCTGGAGTCTGACTATGTCTATCATATATTTTCGGGGTCCATTTGACCCTATCACGTCAGGATTTTTCATAACTTCAAAAAATAGGCCCGAAAACGCAATAAATCCTATATCCATAACCATATAATTCCATAACCTCTTAATCCCTTGAACCCCATAACTTCAAAATGCCATAACCCCAAAATCCCAGAACCCGGTAAGAAAGAAACTTATGCGCGTTGAATCCGGGAAACACAATATCTTCGAGCCATGCATGCTTCTTGAGCCTTAAACCTATACACCAACGAATCTCTTATAGAAGATCGCTCAGGGTTCTCCCAACGAAAGTCTCATGCTCACCGGTTATGGGGTTTCGAATTTATAGGGTTATTGAAGAATGTGAAATAAAGCTCAAGAAGCATGCATGGCTCGAACATATTGTGTTTCAGGGATTGAACTCGCATAAGTCTCTTTCTTACGGGGTACTGGGATTTTGGGAATATCACATTTTGAGGTTATTGGGTTAAGGGGGTTTAAGGGGTTATGGGGTTATTGGGAATGAATGGGTCAATGGATAGAGGGTTTATTGCGTTTTAGGCTTATTTTTTGAGGTTATGAAAAATTCTGACGTGATGGGGTTAAATGGACCCTAAATTTGGATTCAGTCTGTAATTTTCTCGATTCTTTTTTGTGGAGCTGTGTAATCAATACGACTTTGTGTTTATCAGTAAACGATCTGCATTCTATACATTATTCATTTTCAACAATGTGTATTTATAGTCGGTAAGATATTTGTTGAAGTAAAACAAGAAGAACCCTGCGTTACTTTCTTGGAATTGTGGTTCCGATAATTTTCTTGGAATTTTATCTCAACTAATATTGTACGGACTTTCACTTGTTGCAAATGTTTAGAGCCGACTGTTTTTTTTAATGTACATTTCCTCTTGTTACAGTGCGGCATCGAGGATGACTCCGACGACGATGATCTAGGGGCGATGAAGAACCTCACGATAAACGACTACGTGATCAGCACCACCACCACCACACAACAGGACGTGAAGAACCTGGAATCTCAGCAACGACTGGCGGTGCTCAGTTTCGAGCAGGTGTGTCGCCTCAACGACGTTATGGACGAGGTGGTGTACATACACGGCCGTGGCAACTTCCCCACCTTGGAGATCCGCCTCCGCGACCTGGTGAACGTGGTCAGAGAGAAACTGGAGGCGGACACCTCGTCCGGAGGCGCCGGGATGCGGGTCCGAGACATCCGCCTGAACGGCGGCGCCGCATCCCACGTCCTCGCCACCGAGACGCAGCCATACAACGACCTGGATCTCATCTTCGGCGTGGAGCTCTCCACCATGCGCAACTTCGACCGCGTCAAATCCGCCGTGCTCAGCTCCCTCTACGAGATGCTGCCCGACGGCGTGAGCCGCAAGCGCATCTCCACCTGCAGCCTGAAGGAGGCCTACGTCAGCAAGATGGTGAAGGTCAACAGCAACACCGGCGGCGACCGCTGGTCGCTCATCTCCCTGGGAAACTCGCGCGGTCGCGGTGTGGAACTCAAGTTTGTGGACTGCATGCGCAGACAGTTCGAGTTTTCCGTCGACTCGTTCCAGATCATCCTGGACTCGCTGTTGTTGTTCTATAAATGCAGTGAGTTGCCCATCAGTGAGAACTTCTACCCCACGGTGGTGGGCGAGTCGGTGTACGGCGATTTCCAGGAGGCGCTCTACCACCTGCAGAAGAAGCTGATCTCAACCAGGCATCCCGAGGAGATACGCGGCGGGGGACTGCTCAAGTATTGCAACTTGCTAGTCAAGAACTACAAACCGGCCCGCCCAGATTTCATTAAGGGACTCCAACGGTGAGTACTGGACCCTTTTTAAGATACAGAAGAGAAATAAAAACCAAAATATTTCATTGTATTTTACTATAAATCGCACGAACAACAGTTTGGTGCAGACCGACACAAATAAGTTTGCTTCTGAGATAGCTCCGCCCACAAAGCTCAACAAAGCGCCGTTACACTAAATCGCCGGGTCTTATTCATTCTAGCCGGATGCGGTCTTTCTCAATCTCGCGCAGCTCTGTCTAGGTCAGAAACGCAAACTTATTTCTGTTGGTTTGTGATATTAGATAATATTTGAAATTTCCGTGTGAATCAGGTCAGCAGGGCTAACTCCGTAAGCTGCTTTGCAGTTCATGCATCAGTAGAGTCGTTTCCTTAAGTTAAATTATGTAGGAGGTCTGTCTATTATTTGAAATGACCTTTAAAGTATGTGACAAATTTGCTTCGATGTCATCAACAGTCTCAAAATGGCGTTCTTTCTGCTCTAATTTTAATTTCGGAAATAAGAAAAAATCGTAAGTAGCCAGGTCTGACGAGTAAGGAAGGTGAGGGAGGACAATAATCAGATTTTTGGTACAAAACTGACGAATTGACAAACCATGAGTTGTCTCGCCACAACTCTGGTTTCGTTTTGCGGATTTTTTCACGTAACTTGTCTAAAACGCCTTGATGGTACACACACTTCACTGTTTCACCTTGAGCCATGAATTCAAAATGTATAATTCTATTAAAGTCGAAAAAAAAAAACAGTGAGCATTACTTGGACCGAAACTGACGTGTTTTCTTGGGGCGTGGAGATCTTTTACCAATTCATTGTGGTGATTTTTTGAATGCATGCCTCATGATCATTGGATTATTCAAGGAGTTGCTGACAAACGTCCATACGATTTTCTTTCTTTTGTTCGGCCATCAAACGAGGAACAAATTTTGCTGCCATTGGATGCATGTTCAATTTTTCAGTCAAAATTTCATGGCATGATGCAATTGAGACTTTCTGGACGTGGGGGAGTCTTCCTGATCGAGTATCATCTTCAACTGACTGACGATCACTTTTAAATCGTGAAAACCATTCGTAACATTGCCTACGACGACCCAGCGCATCATCTCCATAAGCTTTTTTAAACGTTGAAAGGTTTCCGAGGAATTCAAAGAGTTCGGTTGTTTTCTGAACAGACTTCGTATAAAATATAGTCATTAAATAACGTATGCTTAATTTTGATGTTTCTCAAAATAACATCGGCCAGTATCACAATTGTTGGTTATCTTTTTGCTAAGGTAACCTTGACCCAAGAGTTAACTCGTGGTTAAACAATTGAACTGTTTCACAACAGCCATTACTTCTTCAAGTAAGTCAACCTGGGGTTAAGCTTATTTTTAGAGTGTCGTTACGAATTTATTGCAATGGACAAGTGACAAAATTTAGAAGAAGAGGAAGAAATGACCTGTAGTGACATATTTTGTCACAGCCGCTTATTTCTGTGAGAAAGCAAGTAAATAATCACTATCGCCGATCAACAGACAGTCACCATATTGGCCCATTTCCAAAAAAGCACATACCTAATACGGAGTTTCTAAAAATGTGGGCATCGTGACTTGAACCTGGCCATCTTGTGACTATGTTACGAATTTCAACTGTTTGCAGAAGGAAAATAATTGTTTTCTGTTTCTCAAAATTTAAGCGTTTTCAGTCCCCAGAGATATTTTTACGTAGGTACAGTCTACGACATCAATACATCTTGGATATCGAGCAATGTTGTAACAGGCTTGTCTTTCGTTGATTTCTTCTTACTCTTCTTACTACCCTACTTGCTGTGACCTACTAACTCCACCTTTGGTAAGGAATTAACTGTTAGTTAACCGCAGATTGTGAAACTGGATGTAAGTGGGGAAACGTTCTTCTATTTAGAACATGGTCAAAAATAAGAAAAAATTGCGAAATCTCTTTCAAATAAATATTTTAAAAAAATGGTACATAAAATGGGAAACGGCCCTATATGCTAACTCTATAACGTAAAGGTGGATTTTTAGTTGGACGACCAAAGTAAATTTAATACCACACAAAAAGATAAGGTACATGAAGTAAATTGTATATGAACTACAAAACTAATTTCAAAATTGTTTTAATTTAAAATGTTTCACACCGGATATTAATGTCCTACTAAGCAACTATGGTTCCACATTTAAAGGTCTGTGACATCACATCATACCTAATAATACCCAACATCATCCATATCTAGATATTAATCAGATTAGACACCATATGCGTAATAAATTGACATCTAGCTCGATGAACCAAAACTATTTATACACACATTACAGTGTGCTGTTATTACATGAATAATTTATCTTGTTTAGTTTTCCAAGTACCGCTATTCCTGTCGGGTCCCACCTTCCGAACTGTTCCAAACGTGGAAATATCACGAAACGATGCATAAATCATGTAGTTTTTCTATCGCCAGGGGTAATGATAGTATTCGTTACTTCTTCTCTGTAATTTGTCGGCCAGACAAGGGTATTAAATTTTAAGTAGGAATGGAAAATGTACAGGTAACGCGTTTCGCCTTGAGGAATGCGACTGTGGAGATATTCCAGACGAGAGCAGTAGAAGTGGTTGTCCTTTGTATTTTTTCTTCAAGTTCTTGTGATATCAAAGATGTAGCTGTAATAACACAGGCCGACTAGATTTTAACCCAACAACACGAATATACTTTTGCCAAAGGATTGTCATGCGTTGAATTCGAATTAGAGGTCCAAATTTCTCAGTTGTCTGTGGTTTTCGAGATATCCTAACCTAAAAGTGTCAAAATCGCGATTTTTTGTCATATTTGAGGTTATGTTGCATGGAAAAGTAATTTTTTTTGCTGAAACCATTAATGGTGTCTTAGAGAAAGGGCGTCGCCAGCCAATGGGCTAGAGGGGGGGGAGGGGCAAGATAAGAGAGAGAAAATGGGAGAAATATAAATTATAGGTAGAAATAGGTACAGCGAATTAATTTTTTTTAGAAACATTTTTAATAAAACCTTTTAAAACAAAAATAAAAAAAATAAAGAAATCCAACGAAAATTAAGTAAAACAATCGGATTTTTTGAAAATTTGTCGACCACTTTATTAATAAAATCTGCATAGTTGTCAAAAAGCTTTCTGTGTATACTTATCATTGCTAGGCCATTGAGATGATTTTGTACCATAGTATTTTGCAGCCAGGTTTTTATTCTTCTTTTTTTTTTTAATTTAAAATTCCGGAGCTAAATTTTTAAAATATAGAAATGTAAATATTACTTTTTAACATAAAATTTTATATTTTTAAATTCTTTTGTCAATAAATATTTATACTAATTTATAACAATTGTTTTTTTTTTAACAACCAAAGTACTCTGTATATTAGTTTTCAAAATTAAAGTTGAAGTAAATAAAATATTTTATAAAAAATTTCCGATCTAATATTTTCTTAGCTTAAGAAATTTTTTGTACTTTTTCCGAATTTCTCCCCTTTGGCGACGCCCTTGTCCCGATATCATTTTTCATCTGAGAAATCACGTGTTGAAATTTAGTAGTTTGACTTATTTCTCCAGTGCTAGAATAGTGGACAGTGACTCATTTTCAATATGTAGGTCCTTGCAAAGGGTAAATGTTCAGAGCATGTATTTCCATAGGCGTGTCGTTTTAGAGGGTTCCAAAATTGTTAAATATGGAACAAATACATGTCAGTTTTGGTCAGACCGATAGATCTCAACACAAATCTGAGGTATTTTTGTATCCATTCTAAGGTAAATATAGTGTGGATTTAATTGGCATATAATTTTTTCCAATACTCAAAATATTATTTTAAAATATTTTCTCAAAGCATTTACAAATTGTTACTCTTCAGTATAAAACTTTATCTTATCTTCACTATTTCATCCTATTTTGGGGGACATTGTAACGTTTTACTAAAAAATGACCCGGTAAATCGCTTATTAGGCTGCAGATTGGGATTCAGCATAAAAAAATGCACAAAATCTATGTACTCTTTTTGTGGAACAGTATATCAGTTTCAGAATAAAGAAAAAACTTGGGTGGGGTTTTATTTTATTTAAATAGTACCTAATTTACTACATCATTGTCAGTGTGATGCATATTAATATTGTCAACAAAATTTTAAATAATTATTAATAACGTTGAGATGGGATAGGATGGAACCTTTTTTTAGTATTTAACATTTTCAACTTCTTCCATAAGTTTTTAGTAGAACAATTTGACCATAAAATGCTCTTTTCCCATTGGCAACAGCATGATCAGTTTGATTTTTCTTTAATGATGGAATTTTTTAAATTTGTTTAATTTAAATTGTTTAAAAATAAAACCCCTGAAATTTCGTCAATTCTTTTTCTGTCGCTAGTTTCGCTTTATTAATATGAGATTCCTTAGTATTGAACATGTTACTTAGTGTAGACACTTGGTTGGTCATAGCCTGTATACTGTATACCACATCCCTACGACTATGCCTCTCATTTTGCTCGACTGTAAGTTGTTTGTTCCTAATTTCGTGCATTTTAATCACGTGCATATCGGCCAAACAACGCCCCTGGTATTTGGCAGGAGTTATTAGCAGCAATCTCTCGGATATTTCCTGTTGATAAGCGTCGCCGTCGTACCGTACCGTATAATAATAGATACAGAACGGCGCCCTAGAAACGTACTTGACTCGTAGCGCGACGTTATTAACGTGGAGATAAAGAAAATGTTTCAGCTTGTATAATAATTCAGATCGATCGGAAAATTGGTTTGCCAGCTTTTCCGCTTTTGAGGAAAGCCCGCATGTGTTATTTAATTAACAGTCAAAGCCGACAGCCTTGACCGCAGAAAAAAATTGTGGGCGAAATTGTTAAATGTCACTCACGTTTCGCTGGGCGCGAGTGTGCAGGATTCAATTTTGTATTCCACAATTTGTGGTTGGAGGAAGTGTGGAACGACATTTTTTAAATTCGTTGGTTTGAATAAAAATACAGGGAAAAATTAAGGATCTCTAAGCAAAAACTAGGAAATATATTTTTTATTGGGCTTCGTTTTCGAATATCAAGGTTAATAGTTTTCATGGATAAATTTCAAATTTTACGAAAAGTAATCGAGAGGGAAACCACGAGAATAATCTGGTCTACAAGCTCCAGTAATATTTGAGTAATGCTGAGTACTTTTGAATAAATGTTTAAGGAGGATGGGGTGCTATGGAAAAATGCAATCAATTTCGTATTATTGAGATATATTATTTGCGAAATCAAATTATGTGAATTATAGTAGGATCATATTCGATGCAAAGTAATAAATCATTATCTGTCAACGGAACCAATGAAGTACGCTTTTAAGGGTTTTACAAATTGAATAATTTCTTTATACATTATGAAGGGACGAGGGGATCAGTTCAGGTCTGGCACCCTTGTTCCTACAAAAATTCCTTTATTCTCATAAAATATTTATTTTAAATGTAATTTATTCTAAATCCAATTTGTTTCCTAAATTCCACATATGTACTACATTTTACCTCTGTACGCGCCACTGTTGTTTACTTGTTTTTTGGAAGCGCTCTCTAATTGACGGCAAAGCTCGCCAGGTTAGTATTTGACGTATAACCGACCAGTTCGTACACTCGATGCACCTGGGCGACTACAGCTACTACCAGAACACAGTGCGTATGCAGCGGTATTTCAGATTTTACATTGAATTTCATTTTAAATTTGAAATGATTTATCTTACGCCTCCTAAAAATGATGACACGATTTTCCTTTGATAAAAGACCGATAACTTTTTGCTCTAATTTGCATCGAATACGATCCTACTATAGGTTACCGCACATATCACAGAGAAATAAATTATCGAACATGAAAAGTTCTGACTTGTTGTCGTCTCATAATAAACGCGAAGGAGTAACGGCAACAGCGCAATAGAGTATGAATGAGGATAGGTGGCGGGAAATTTAAATACACGTTTCGATATACAAATTAGTCATTAGAAATGGATTACATTCAACTTGTGTTTATTTGTGTAATTCAATTTGGAATAATAAAATAAAATGAGAAATTTTCAAATGAAGTAGTATGTTTTTTGAAATCTTTTTTTATTTATAAAGTACGACAAACTTTCAGTACAAGAAGTAAAAAATACAGTAGCATATAAACAATGAAATATTTATACTTTGCATCACGGCGCATATAACAATCTTATGCATTTTGACAAATTATGACATTTTTAATATCATTTTTCATTTTAAAATTAACATTTCAATAATTTTAGTATATTTTTGGCTGCAATAACATCGTATCACTGTATTATACTACACATACATAAATATAATCGCTTTGAACCCTTATCTTATAAGAAACATTTGTATTTACTGAAGTGCATCATAGTAGTATTATACTATGCAAGTAACTAAATTAAATTTAAACTTTTCCACGCGAATCACTTCGTAATCACAGTTTGTAAAAAGCAGAGCAGTTGTATGCTTTGTGTCATGTATTCTTTGTCGATTAATTGATGCCCTCCAACGGTGTGCGGAGGTTCTGGCTCCACAATCTTCTCTTCAACAGCTTTTTTCCAAGCTTTTGCTATTTTCTGTTCTAATTCTCAAGCACTTATATTTTCTTTTGGACACAAATTTTCCTTTCTACCGATTGTGTTCTTTAGCCTACATTTTATAGGTTAAGGCAGTGCGAGCGATCACATAGTATAATGTATATCTATAAAACTATGGTATTTCGTCTTTTTTGTTTAAAATTGGAACCGGATTCTTATTTTACCTTCCGGTATAAATCACCCTGTATAGGATGAGAAGAATTAAATTGGCACAATTAAATAAGCGCTATGTCTTCATACCGTTAATTAAAATTAAATTGTCCGAAAGAAACTTTTCAATTCCGTCGGTTACAATAATTTAATTATCTTACTACCGCTCTATTTGCTCAATTTAATCCACGTTGTGTTTCCACGGGCATGACCGTTGGCAGAATTATCTCTCGTATTTGTCCAGAGAATGCAATATAAAAGCCTAAGTAGCATATTGCGGCGAGCAAACAGTCGATTATTATTATTGCTTCCTCGCAAATCTCGCGGCGTAACGGAATGTGGCTTCTTCGTTGAACGCTATATTGTTCGTAAAATAATTAACAATTGGCGCTGGCTAATGAGCCGCTCATCTCGGCTGTTATTCCGTTTGGTATAGCTCGTTTCGTAATAGTGAGGCTATTGTTCCGTTTGGTATAGTTTGTTTCAGAATAGTGAGTCTGCGTATTGCGTTTGGTGTAGCTTGTTGTTTGGTAATAGTGAGAGTTGTTTCCACATCTGATCTATCTTGTGTTAATTGAGGTCAACTTTTGGCACCCGTCTTCTTTCTAGTGTTATAATTTTCTTTTTGTATCAACTTTGGTTGGCAATTACTCTCATACTGTATGTAAAAATGCTTGAAAGTTGAATGACCTCTGTGCTGGATTTGCCATTATACATTATAATTTTCACTGAATTAACAAATATAGATTATTAATATCAAAAAAATGAACATACTAGCAAATGTACATAATACTACAACTAAATTGCATTTTTACTACTAAACTAATTAAGGTTTAACAGCAGCAAAATCTGATGCTTAATATAAAGGTTTAGACAAAACTTCTCTATAAGTACCAAATCAATGGTATGGATCACAATATTTATAATTTTTTAAACTGCATAACCTTTCATTAACCCTAGACTGCCTGCTACTATAAAAACAATACTTAAAAATTCATTTTATTTAAAAGTTCTAAAAGGTATACAATTGGAGTGATTTACTTTACATTGGCTAAGAGTTGTGCATCTTCTTAAGTCGACTTTATACAGGTCTGGTCAGATTTTTATTTCCGATACAAACTTTGTAAATTATATAAATATTTCACCAGTCTCCTAATAATTCTGACTCCGCCCCCATATCATTTGTATAACTTTATGCCATCGATATAAGGGAATAAAAAAACGCCATAATATTAATTTTTCTGTTCGACACTGTACGCCATTTTTATTTTGTAATATTCTGTCTACTTCTTACCAAAGGTTTGAATGGAATAATAATAAAAATAAAACTAAACAAAAGCTTTAGATATTCGGTCGGTTCACAAAAATGCAACGGGGCACCTGCACTCCCACAGTCAACCAATTACGAGAGTCCGAGTCGCAGTCTCGATGATATATGTCATGTACGACCCCTTCCACCCGAAGTTGATAGGGGAGATGCGTGTAATTTATTTAGTCTATGCGAAAGAATTACCTGGCCAGACCGGTATGTCACTTAAGCAGGCAGTCTAATTTTTTTTAGGTTTGTGCTTTAGTAGCTCAAGACCTGTATCCCAATGTGAAACAAAACATTTCCATTTTCCATAGCAATCATCTTTCGGGAGTACTTGAAGATGGCTAATTGTTGGTCTTTGTTGCAGATACATGTGCTCGCGCTTCTTCATCGACTTCCCCGACATCACCCAGCAGAAGGCCAAGCTGGAGAACTACCTGTGGAACCACTTCGTGGAGCCTGACGAGGAGGCGCTGCGACACCAGTACCTGATGCTCCTCCACGACGTGGTAGAGGAGTCGACCGTCTGCCTGATGGGTCACGAGCGGCGCCAGACGCTGCAGCTCATCAAGAGCCTCGCCTGGCAGGTGCTCTACCAGGACCAGCAGCGCATGATGACCCAGCAGCCCCCGCCCCTCATGTACGCCAACGGTATTGTCTACGCGCCCATCATCCAGACCAGCTGCTACTGCACGTGCAACCCATCGTGGATGCAGTGTTGCTCGTGATGTGCGCAAGTCTGTGCGGGTGCGCGGGCGACAGCGCGCCCTCTAGCGGTAGAGGCGGCGGCTGTCGTGCGCCGCCACCACCGGGACACTCCTCGTACAGACTGCTGACTGAGGTTCGCGCGAGAACCCCTTACGTAACGCAAGCTGCGCGCGTCACTGTAAACAAATCATTCCGAGATTGTAAAGGGCTCCCAAGGGGTTGTCTTGGATTTGAGGTGTCGTCTTTTAGGAGTCGGCGTGAGTCTGTCTATTTTTTATTGTCCAAGAGTAAAACTCTTATAAATTGTAAACAGTTTTGAACTGATACTGCATAGGTAGAACCGTACTTTATTAAAAAATTGAGCCTATGAAAGTCCAAGGTTGTAAAAATTGAAATAACAAGTAAATTGTAACGGAACCTTGACTTTGCGATTTAATGAGTCATAAATACATCATAATGAGTAAAATCGACAGGTCCAAACATCATTTGCGTTTGGTGACTAAAAACGTAGTTGTACCAGATCAGGTTTTAAGACAATTGCTTCTAAACCAAATTTAATTTGAACGAATTGAGAAATAATTTTTTAATCCAGAAGATTTACACCAGAATTATGAATATAACTGATCTAAACTGATTTCCCCTTTAACGCATAAACGCAATTTTTTCAATTTTTCGATAGGCACATTTTAATATGTTATTTACAATATTGAATACAAAGAACATGAATATTCAACTCGCCATTGTAATTTTTTGCACACCGCTGCCTTGCGTATTTTCAAACAATGAGTCTAAAAATAACAATAGCTTTCTTCATTACAAAAATTTAAGAGCCGGTACAACCGTTACGAAATTCGTCGGTACACTACGATTTGTCATGGTCATGGTTATCCTAGTTCAACTCCATTGACACAATTCGCGTTTTTCGAAGTCAAACAAAGAGTAAAGTGGTTAATTTTCCGAAAATGCTTAAATATACAAATATTTGTTCAACTTCTGAAATTCCTCTGCCGGTTTGTCGTGACTCATTAAAATGTTCATAGAACTACTAAATTTATTACATTAAAATTGCTGTAACATCACTTCGTTGCAGAGAACATGTGACTCGTTAAGGATAATCATGAGTGACTCGTTAAAAAAATATGACTCGTTAAGAACTCTTCAAAAACCATCAGACTCATGACGCGCCTCGTTATTTTAGCTGCTTATTTTTATATGTGCTGTGCAAAAAGTAACTTTGACTTATGGAGTGATGTGACTCATTAAATATACTTTTTTTATGTAAGTTTGGCCCCCTTAAAATCTGATTTGGTGTTATCATAGACTATTTTTGATCAATTCCCATTTGATTAATGTACAAATGACTCATTAATAACAACGTGAGACTCATTAAATTTAATAGACTCATTACATACACTTCCAAGACGGCCCCGGCCGGTTCTCTCTAGTAACATGAGGCTGACAGTTCTTAAAATATGACGCATTATTTGGTGTGTGTGGCTGTGAGAAAAACACATTTCTATTGGGTTGTGTACGTGAGATGTTTTTTAGCGATTTTGGAGCGATTTTTTTTCGATACGCAGCCTGAATCCAGCCGCAGAAGTACACGGTTTCGTATCGGGCGCCCGTTTCGTTGCTCGGCCTTGACCTTCCTCAGGTAGGCGCGCAATTTCGCCGGTCCCAGCGCCGAGTCTGAGGGAGGTCGATGCGGCGCGGGGCGCTTTTCCGAAACGTCGCCCGGAATGTCTGGTTCGCGCGTAGAGGGTAGGATATTTTTTAAATATGTTTATGTAAAACCGTAAATGTAGTTTGTGTGTAGGAGCAAGTTGCAGACAGTTCAATAGCTATGACAAATTTTATCCGTCGTCGGGGGGGTAGGTGGGTCCTTTTTTTTTCTAGAAACGCAGAAAGGCGGAACGTGGCGGCATTTACTATTTAAATTTTACCGATTTAAATGTACCGAGTTGTTAATATTTAACATTTTGAGATAATTTAGCAAAAAAATTTTATAAATTGCTTTAAAAACAATTACAAAAAAAACACAAAATAATATATTTTAAACAGATTTTGTGTTTTAACCTAGGTTAGTGTTAGACTTGTATTTATATCTATCAGTTTATTTTATTACTACATATTCACTCGTATTAATTTTAACGTGGATATAAGCGCGAGAAAAAAATTAAAACAAAAAACATATCATATATAATAGCATTTGTGCGTAGATATTAATTATTATTAAAAGTAAAAAGTAAAAAAAGTCAACATAGACATCATATTCGTATAAAAGACAGTAAGCTTAGATATAATCAAGGAGGAACAGATTTAAGACAGCATTTTCACCACCAATTCTCTTCCAATAATTATAATTTAGCGAGTACTTGCCTTTACGATCGGTAATTATCGTTCTATCACGCCGGTAGTTGTTTTAAGTTCTAAATAATTTTTAACGCCATTTTTACACTACACTAAGAAAAATGCATGTTTGCGTCCGCTGGTTTTCAGGGCTTCAGGCTGCGACCAACGATCCTATTTATTGGAAATTTCAGTTACATCGCCCGATCGCAATAAGTATTAGAAATCATAAAAAAAATTATCGTGAAAACTTCCATAACTTGCGAGTAACGTAACCAGTCATTAAATAAGTAACTGTAGGTCTGAGTAGTTGGATTTTTTTTATTTCGTAGAGTCAGTAACTTAGTTAGAACACCAGTTGGACTGAGACGCAAAAAGGGAACACGAATCACAACAAAAAAATTCTCGGTTCAACTCCGTCTAGAGACTGCTGTACAGTGACCTCCACAAAAACACGCCTATAAGTACTTATAGCGAGGGTGACTGACTGAGGGGTATGAAGCCTAACCAAAAAACAAAAAAAAAATGATTAAAAAAATGGGGACGTATTCTTTTGGTTGGCCTCGTATATATACAATTACCTGGGCCCCCCCTAGCGGGGGCCCTGCTCTTTAAGTTATATTATAACATAGATAATAAATAAATAAAGAAATGTCTATTTTGATTCAATATATATATGTTATCGAGGGCTTGATCTGTATATTTTTATTGTTCTAGAGCCCGTTTTAAAGTATAAGATATAAAAAATGTAAAAAACCCAATAAAAATCAATAAAACGTGCAAACATTTCAGAAACTATACTTCGGTTTTGTTATTTTACAGCACCTTACCTGATCCTTAAAGTCCCCTCAAAAGTTAGAACAAGGCGCAGTGATAGTTGTAAGGAAATAAAACTCGGAAAAGAATTCTTACATTAGAATATGGAAGTAGTTAATACAATCCGCAAGGTGTTTAGACCCATGTCCCATGAAACGTAATAGGTAAGTACTGCCCTAAAAAAAAATTACATACTGTAAACATGAAGTACCATTACCGTCTTTAATCTAAAGCCTCACGCCTGATGCGTCTTTATTTAGTGACGTCACTACCAGTGGTTATACCTGTAGTCTCTAATCGTAAACGATAGAAGTTATCGCACACGTCGTTGGTTTGATTTAATAATTTCAGTAACTCTTACAAGATTAATTTTAAATTTTAAATAATTTTATATATTATATTTATAGTATATACAGGGTATTTCACAATGATGTGCAAATATTTTAAGGAGGTGTTTAGAAAATAATTTTAGAGGTGTAACCTGAGGGGTTATTTCTTTAATTATCTATCTACCGCTATGACCAGTATCATAACGGTATTAACTGACAAAATAGTTTACTATTAATTTCTAGAAGGGGAGTTTATAATTATCATTACACTTTAATCGATACGTGGGAACTTAGAGATGTTGTACGTTCAGAGAATGAATACCAGACACTTACCGTATGTCGCTCATGCACAAGGTAATCCAGTAGGGTGACACTTAAGTTGGAAGAACAAAAAACACCAAAACCTTCCAGGAACGGTTTTATTGACAATAAAAACAAAACAAACAAAATTACGACACAACGGGCTCGAAAAAGATTGTTAATTTATTGACATGCGACAGCGTACCGAGATTCAAGGAATGCGCGAACCATAGAAAAAATTGGAATGACTATCCATTATTAAATTAACCCGAGAGTCTAAAACTAAGTAGACTGCTCGATGTGAAACCCAAGGAAAAACTGCCTGTTTTTCGGAGATCTCCTGAATCGAACACCTCGCTTCGACACGCCCATTTCTTGGGTCCAGAAGTTTCTGTTCTTATCTTACTGCTGGGCTCCTGAATATCGGGACGCTTCGGTATAACTATACTATGTTAATAATTACCTAATTGACTGGACTTACATTTATATAAATAATTCTGTGACTAACTGAACTCGCAAGTAACCCTAGCCTTCCTCTAGTAACTCCGTGTAGCAATACGGGACGGATTAGTCAATCTCATTTAATCTATTCTTATTGCTTGGAAAATCCGCCTAAAAACCTGCTATTTGATCTATTACTTTCTTATTATCAATTTAACAATTTGATTTAATTCTAATTTGGAACCTTTACGCATTTCTCGTGTTTTCGTGCATTGTTACAAATATGGGTTTCTCTGTTCTGTCCCAGACTACGCTGGCGCCCCCCGGACGCAACAAATGACTGTCTTAGAAGGCCTAATAGAACTATTGAGCCCCAGTCGTTCTGAAAACCGCCCCATAAATTACAAGGATCTGGCTTTTGTTACAGGGAGGTACTGCCAAAACATTTTTTCGATTTGAGCCCCCTCCTGAGAAAATATTCAAATCTCAAAATGACCGAAAAAATTACTTATTTTTTTATTAAATATTTAGCTCGTATTTGCTTAGCTTTTCCTATTGATAAAAAAGAATTTTTATGTCAAAAATGACTATCGTTTTTGGTAACTGTTATACTAATTATGTGTACCTAATCGGCAAGGGAAAATAGTTTATTTTTTTGCTCTTAAACCATTAAATTTACGAAAAAATGGGAAGAGTAAAAAAGTTTCTAAATGAAATGTAGTATTTTTCTTATTGGAATTGGCTAACGTAGAAAAAAGTTGTGAGAGAAATAAAAGCAAGGAGTGCTAATTTCTTTCATTCAAAAACATAACCCAGAAAAAAAGACTACCAAAAAATACATTTACAACTAGTTGTTAACGTGTACCAAAACTCAAATTTCTAACTAAACGATTTCGTGAAAAAAAAATAAAAGCTAATTTTTTCGGCCACTGAGATTTGAATATTTTCTCAGGAGGGGCTCAAATCAAAAAAATATATTGGAAGTACCCCCCTAAAATTACTTCCTAAACACCTTAAAATATTTGCACATCATTATGAAACACCCTCTAGATATAAGTATTGTAACATTGCGTTATTGCGTAACATAAATCAGTAAAAAATTTGAGGTTAGGTGGTGGTGATGTTGCCTTTCACATGCGAAGAAAGTATTTAGTAATATGGACTTAATATATTTTTGCCTCCTGATCAGAAATCCTGTGTCAGAATTGAAGCTATCAGATCACAGGAATTTCCTAACCTCAAAAAACAGGTCAAAAATAGCAATAATTCACAAAAAGTGCTAGGAAAAATACAAATAATAAATTATTTTTTCAAATGTTCATTTATATGGTTAAAACTCTGCCGAACGTAAATCTGCGGTCAGAATTGATGGTTCTTTTTCAAACCACAAAAAAAAACGGTCAATTCAGATATCACGAATTTCCAAATAATAACAGATTCGCGCCAAATTTGGTATACGTGGATTTTCAGGGTCGCTGATTACGAATTCCAGGCCGGAATTGCAAAATTCACTTTGTAATATATTTGTTTACTTTATAATCATGTTTTAACCTTCTTTTTTTCGGCTATATCTTGTTCTTTCTGTAAAAGATCTATTAACGGGTTTTCTGCCTAATCTCAGGTGATAAAGTACATAGGTAGGTAATTGATTAAATTTTTAAAAACGAATTTTGTATCTGATCTCGGATTCGTGATCAGTGACCCTGAAAACCCCCGTATACCAAATTTGGCGCGAATGTGTTATTTTTTGAAAATTTGGCCGGCCATCTTGGATCCGTCATCTTGAATTTTAAATAATTTTGATAGACTTAAGTCACACAGTATATGTAAATCATAAATTTCACTCCGTCTCATTTCACCGTCATTCTGAATTTCATCGAATACGATTTCCAAAGTGTAAAATTTTTAAATACGCCTCTGGCGAATTGTAGAGGGTCACTGCGTACCGAAGAGGGTGCCCGGTCTGCTATGCGCGTCTTACGATTTCCGCTCGTCTGAATTTGCTGGTTTACATATGCAGGATGTTTCTGAAATAAGTACGTTTCTTGAAAATAGTGATAAAGAGCACGAAAATGAGCTACTTTTATTAAGCAACTGATGCTCTAATTGCTTCTGTTTTCGAGAAACACCCTGTATACTACGCTTAAGCTTTTTATGACAAAAATCTGTTGGTATAGTTTTTAAAGGTGGTTATAAAGGAAAGGTAATACAATTAAATACATTTTTAAATGAAATACATAAATAATAGTAACTATACTTGCAGTTCTATAAATACCTACATGTACAAGAGCTAAAGAAAGTTAAGAAATTGACAGCAGTGGCGGCTGGTTAGAGAAGGCTGGGGAGGCTAAGCCTCCTCTGCAGTTTTTGATAGTATTGCAAAAGTTTTCTTTTAGTTTTTTTATTTTACATCAAATCTATTTTCATATGCAACTAGTTAGGTAGGTACGTAAATATACGATTTTTAAATGTTCACTATTTTTCGCGCCCTCCGAATGCGAATTATAGTCGCTGGCAACTAACTTTGCCGTCTTTAGTTGAAGTGAGTGAAAAACAAAATAGGGGATTTAACGATAATAATTATTATAGAAAAAAACAACTGCATCAACTATTAGAAATAAATTATACTGCTGGCAATGTTTATTTTTTACAAATGATAATTTATCGGTTTGGGGCAGGGTCGGTTTTAACAATTTAAAAAATTTAACGAGAGGCCTCGAAAGACACGAAAATCGCAAGAATATAAGTATTTCATCGCGTATTAAATCTGAAATGTTCGGTAAACAGAATATTGTAAACGCTTTAGATTCTGTTCACAAAACGGAAATAGAACATTGTAATGAGAAAATAGAGATATTTTAAATAGACTAATCGATGTAGTCATATTTTTATCGTCTCAAGAAATTTCTTTTCGCAGACATGATGAAAAAGTAGATTCTGCTAATCGAGGGAACTTTAAAGAGTTAATAAATTTTTTATAAACACGATTCAAAATTGCAGAATTCCAAGTAATGCTCCCACTCGTTGGAATGTTTCTTCTATAGCTGTTTTTACGGTCAAAACATATTGAAAGAAACTTACTGAGATTTTTTATTTCAAATCGGATAGTGACGATTGATCAACAAACTTTAGGATTCGTTGGATTAACACAATTGTTACTATGATTTTTGAACAAACTTGTATTCCAAATTTTACAGAATAAATTAATTGACGTAACATTTTCTAAAAAGATAATTAATTTACTTTTATTAAAATTAAAAGAATTCCGTAATAATGAGGTACATTTCAACATTTTGTATGCAATTTTCTTAGAAAACATTGACGAAATCTTTAACGATGACCCGCCCTCAAAGAAAAGAAAGACAAGTTTAAGGTTTCATTCATTTCAAGCCTCCTCTACCAAAGATACCACGAGCCGCCACTGATTGACAGTTAACTTTAAAAATAGAAAATTTATAAAATATTAGATGACTGGAGGCCAGTGTTTTGGTTGAGAACCGGTTGAAACTCGTGTGACCAATCAGGCAATTATACTGATTGTGAGTATCTCGATTAAGTTCCAGAAACTTGACCAGTGACAGAAGAAACAATTTTAAGCAAAAAGTCTCATGATTGTGGGCGTAGAATGGAGACGGTTGTG